CATTGCAATATTATAGTTTTGTCCCTGCTTCTGTTTAAATGAGGTGGACGAACTTGTGACCCTCTGGGGGTGAGTGCCCGATGGACAAGAGCTCTGTCCATTTGCTTCATCGAAGTGTTTCCCTACTACTGACTGTAGGTTCCCCTCATACCCCCAGTTCCACTTTCAAGCAACTGTCCCAGCTTGTGACCCCATCCACTGCAATGGATGTGCCCATCAAGTTTGAATCCTACCTCACCTCCCTAACTGCCTTTGTACCAAAAATGACTTGGTGACTGAATTTGAATCATTCCCAGTACAAATGTTATGAGATGTTATCTGAATGCTACCAATCCGAAGCTGATTGTGAAAGGATATATCTTGATCATACGTTTGAATGATTCAATCTCATTTGACAACCCTTTATTTCGGCCAATTCATATCACATGTGTGATATTCAAAATTTATTATTGTACTATGTGAATAACTAATCTTATTTCCAGGACTAACAGTTTTATTTCAGCCCAGCATGAACCATGTGATGACCTTCAACCTAATGGACAGTGTACACTATGCTATATAAAAGTAATCTTAATGAACACTATCATGATTGATGTTCGATTAAAGTGACTTATTTGGTGTACCCAATGAAGCGACGATATTGGGAGCCACTCTTAATATTGACATTGAGAATTAAAGCTTATGAACAGAGACATGTACCCTATACTTATAAGAATTGATTCTGCAGCTTTGTGATGACTCTGCATTTTGAGGAAAGACACGAAGAATGGCTGACAATCTAAATTTTATATTGTACTAGAGACCATGCCAATACTAAACATATTCTCCTATTATAGTGGGAAGCCAGTGACAATGACTGTATCATCAATGAATGTGTTGGTAAGAACGTTTGATAAACTTATACAAACAGTATGGATATTACTTCAACCCTTCACAAGAACCATAACCTACAAGACAAAGAAGAAAGACACTAATGCTGCTAGAGACATTTTTCTGTAATTAAACGCGATTGTTTATTAGATTATGCAAGCCTTTTTATGTTATGTATTTCAGGTGAGAAATCGAGAAAAGTGTAAACTGACATTGTATTTGATTTAGACTTATGTTAAGTAGTAAACTGATTATACATTAAAACCTTATTGTATATATCTATCAATTCCTTTACTAAGTACTGTGTTGTAAATGATGTGTGTGAAATGCTTACTTTAGGTGTTTATATATGATTTTGCATCTTTTATCAATAATTTCATAGTTCGAGGACGAACTGTTTTTAAAGGGGGAGCAGTGTGACGATCCTTCAGATTACTTTGAGCATGGTAATGGAATTGTCTTGAAGGATTGTCACTTTGTTTAACTTTTAGCTCTTCACTTTATCAATTGTGCTTTTAGTTACTCAATATTTAAAGAGTAATAAAATAATTCAAACTCTGTAAAAGGGTAGTCTGCATTACTACTTTGGCTATACTCTTAAAGTATTGTTAGAGTTTAATCATTTAACTCTATATTTATATTTAGGTTAATAACCTTCTCTTGTGTTTTTCGTGTAATATTATTTACAGGATTAATGTCAACATATACATTTTGTTCATAATATGAGTTTAATATGAAGGTTTTAGGCCCAGTTTCATGTTTAATGTTATGTTACAAACTTTTTAGAAAGGGCAGTTGTGTGGGTTTGTTTCAAAATCCAAAGTGAGGCTTATTAAGCTTGATTTAAGTAAATAAGTACGTTTTAAGTGAATTGTCTTTTTCTGTGCTTTTACGATTCGAATTCAAGCCGGCCAGACATGGAAAACATTTTATGGAATTTTAAACATTAAATCGTCACTAAAATTGGATATTTATATTGCCGCAGATAAACCAACTTAGGTGTACGAGTTGGTAAAGGTAATTGACTTGATTTAAGTTGTATTTTTGCAGAGTTCTAGTCTTTGAAAAGAAGTATCCGTACACTTGATTTTTTTCCTTAATTTTATTTATTTGCCTTGTGAACATCCCGTGTTTATATTGTCCCAGGGATTGTTAAGGAACATTTGACAAGGTCAACGCAAAGTTACACGCAGAGTTTTTGTCTTAAAGAACCTATGTAACTTATTAACCAGCGTCGAAAGCAAGTTCCCGGGGTTCCTTATGGAACCTTCTATACAACATCCCCACAGGGAATCGTTTAGGAATATTTGACAAGGTGTACGGAAAGTTACTGTCTTTACGAACCTTATGCAGCTTGCTCTAAACCAGAGTCAACTGCAAATTCCAGGGGTTCATAGACACCTCTATACAACATCTCCCCCCCATCCAGTTTGGGACTGTATTTAGTTTGTTCACAGGGTAAATTTTATTAATACACTAGAAATACTCGTTTGTATATTTGTATGTTAAATTCTGGGTAATTTAAAGGTGAAATCCCGGGCTTATGGGGCCATTATCAAACAACTGATTATTGAAGTACTTTTAAGGGTCAAGGACATTTGAAGCTCAATTTAAGACTTTAAGCCTAGTTTAAGACTCTTTTGGATATTTCGACATTAAGTACCTTCGAGGTTCATTGGAAGTCACTTTTAAGACTAAAGCTTCTTTTAAAGCCTCTGTCCAGACATTTTGAAGTTCAGTACTTTTAAGGATCACGGTCATTCAAACCCCATTTTCGGACTTAAGACACCCCCTCCCCTTCTAGTTTTCCATGTCTGGTCTAATTCTATGTTAACCACATTCTAATTCATTATAGATACTAGAATACTTTTAAAATACTGTTTCCCATTTGTTTGTCAATTGTACCATAGTCTGATAGTGGCAAAATGATGGTCTACTTTTCATGTGAGTAGTATAGAGAGCTGATTTCAACCCCACCAGGGATTATATAAAATTGCACTGCTGAGTTACATTTATGGAAAAAGACACTTTTTAGGCTTTATTGCAAATTGTTTAGCTGAACTTCCATTAGCTGTGCTGTTTTATGCATGTTTGGTTTGAGAGATTATTTACTTGATATACCATCTCGACAGTACTGAATTGTGTAATGTTTGTGTAGATTAATAAACAGAAATAGAGTCGTTTTTATACATTATATAAAAATCCACAGAATATCACTTCTTGTGTTCAATTGTTTATATATATGTTGGAAAATTCCCCCTCATTTTATCTAAAGTAGATTCTGGATTCAAAATAGATTCCGACTAAATTCCAGGTGACTTTAGTGATACTAACATTCAAGCAACAAGCTTTATCTTAGCTCATATTTGCTAAGGGCTTCTTTGAATAACAATCACTCACAATAAGTCATACATATATTTTCCCAGAAACTATGCAATAGTGCAAAGCTAAAGTACAATCCAGGATCTTACTTTCTTATTTAACCTTTATCTTATTGAGAATATTAGTGAGAATTTCATTCACCCTGGTTCCAAGTCGTTACCTCAAACATCATTTTCTTCCAATGTTTTCTTACTTGCTTGTTTAAATGGTGTACAAGTAATATTATCCCCTGATGAGTTTGACAGACTCTTGATTTGAAATAGCCCTACTTTAATTCTTACAAAATCTCCCATTTTAAGTGTGAACAGTGAGCTTTATATACAGCTCGAAGTCCATTGTAGCCCCCAGTGGCTAAGACTTCTACCTGGTTATACTCACACCCTAACATTATACTTATTTGATACAACTGAACACTGGGCACATTCAGAATCTGGAGTCTGTTGTCATTTGCCTTTATGAGACATACAACTTACATTGAAAACTGACAAATCTTACTTAGTCTATATTCAGATTTTGTTATCCCGAAATTGTCCCACTTCATCCCAATTATTTTTATCCCAGAATTTATCCCTAAATTTTTATCCCTAAATTTATCCCTAATTTATCCCTAAATTTTCATCGCAAAATTTATCCCAATTTGATCCCATTTTGTTATGATACTGTGAACACGGATGTTGTTCAAATAAATAGGGTTACACATTTCAACTTTTACTTGAACTTGTCCCGAAACTAAGTTAATGAAAACATCAAATCAAACTATTGATTCTTAGACTGTATTCTGTTTACGACCCCCAAACCACGCTACCACACGAGGGTCGTGACAATGTCTCCCTTGCATAATAAAGCTTAACTGACCTCAGCTTTTTTTCAAAACTGGCACAATATGTCTCGAAACCTGTAATTTAAGTTATGTATGACTGTCAAATACAGCCCAGACTGATTGAACATTTTCCCATCGATTGTAACTTTTTTGTTTGTCATGTATTATCTTCAATACTTCAGGAGTTTTGAAACAATTCATTGTCAACACTTTGTGTAAAAATGAATATACAAGCTAAACATTTAATTACAGAACATGTCCCCCACCCACCTGAACAATCAGTCTGAGCTGCATTTGACAGTCATGTGTGGCGTAAATAATAGGTTTGAGACATATTGTGCCAGTTTTGCAAGAAAGCTGAGGTCAGTTAAGGTATATTTTCCAAGGGACACATGTCTAGTTTCTCCCAGAGATATTAACGTATGTTTTGATCGATGGTAATTGTGTTGAGACCATTTGAAGGGCATATATTATATGGGATGAGATCCTGTATTTTCAGCAATGATGTCACAAGCAGGGAAAATTTGGAAATTTCTCATGACGCACTCATTATACAAATCATGACAAGCCAAAAATAATCATACATACATATTGTTATCATTAACATTTCCACAAATAATCATTTTACCATTATCTGAATTTTTGTGGACTTAACTGCAATAATAAAGAAAATTGAACAAACATAAAAATGTTCCATTTTTTGGCCCACCCTGTACATGTACTTATGGAGGTTCATTAACATTAAGTCAGCTGTTCTTGGGACTCTGAAAATGTTTCCTTTGCAAAGGTGTTCTACTCTACTTCTTCCACTCCCTCTGAAGATCTAAGAGCAAGGTCACTCACTCCGAAACTACAAAGCAGGCGCGTAATGCTAGATTTTAGATCTTCTTGACCAACCCTCGTATGAATGACATAAATTGAATCTTACTTGAACTATCAATGAAATATGATATTGGAAAGGTCCATTTCTCTTTGTTAGCAAGACTCCGTCGATATCTCGTTACAGTTTCTCTTTGTGTTCTCGCAAGACTTCTCTGTTGTTTCAATTTAAATAAATTCAAAATTTTCCTCACGTTCGGTCGTTTGAAATGAGGTTGGGTGATATGGCCGTCTTTACCAACAGTGTCTTTATTATGAGGTGCATTTTCAATTGTTTCCAATCTCAACAGTAGGTCTATCATCTCTTGCCGGTTAAGGACAATATCCCCTTGGAGTCGTCCCCTGGTGAGGTTAAGCTTTTCAAGAATAGCCGCCATTTGTGGCGTCGTGAATTCATCAAACGGATGATCGTCTCTACCAGGTGTGGACGCTTCGAGTTCAGGTAGTCTCACTAGTGCGTTAACAGGCTTCATCTCTACGATCTTATCCAGTGTTGTTCCAACCGGATTCGCTTTAGCAAAAATCGGGACAAAACATAACAGAAAGTAAACAAATATCCTCTGAGTTAAATACTCCATAGTAATCAAAGACTAAAAATCAGATGGATATTTCATATTTGTTAACCTAACATATGCAATGTACTTACTGACTGATTTTATTGACGACATTGCATGATTCAATAAATCATATCAGAACAAGTAGCTTTGGAACATGTGCGAAGCTCGTTAGCCCTATTGGACCATGTCTGATATATGTAAGAGAACATGCTAATAAGTCGTCAAACATTCTGGCACGTTCATCATTTTAACATTCTTTCAAACCATATACAGGGTGGTCCAAAAAAATTGGAACATTTGTTAATTGAATGCAAAATCTTTATTCTTCCTCTAAAATGCACCAAAATTTCACTGAGTATAGTTCATTCACTTATTTATCTGACGTAAAGTTTATATGTGCAAACAACAAAATTAATGCATTAAACTAGACAATGTTTGATATGACCCCTCTAATCCTGAATTACAAGTTCAAGCCCAGGACTCAGTTTTGAAATTATTCATTCATTTTACTGTTTGTTCGTTTTTGTCAAAGCCATCTTGATAAAAAAATTCAGCTTGTCCAGACTCCCTGTATCTTTGCTTTGGAAGATCACATCTGGTAACATATTCAACATTTTTTATCCAAATTGATTTGTATCAAGCATACTTTGATGGCTATTGTTGGGTGTATAAGTGTCTCACTGATGGAATATTCTTCTCCAGAAAGGAACCAGGGTAGTCTGTTTTGACTGGTGAATGGAGCCCCCACCCCTTTATTGTTCTAATATCAATAATATGCATCGAAAATATCAATATACGAATATCAATATTACAAAGGAGTCTAAATGGTGTATTATGTGCTTAGAGTTGGTCTTTAATAAAGCCTTGTAAATAACTGGTCAGTTTTGCCTTAACTGAAAAGTGGAAACAATGATTTTGTCACTTTAGCAGCTGTGTGGGTTATGCAATCGCTCACCTCTGATATAAAAACCCTCTTAAATAAAAACAATTAGTTTGGGTATTCTTTAAGTTGGCATTAACACAATAGTTTTCTAGTAAACCATAGATGTAAATACCTCTTGACAACTGAATATGATTTTACAAAACGAGTATTGAGCAATCATCATGTCCATCAAAGCTTTGAAATAAAGATTACTTGAAAAAGTAGCAGCAAAATTGACAAGTGTATATTTGAGAAAAGGGGATCCTATGAAACATTGACTAATTTAAGGTGTTAACTTTGTGGTTTGCACATATAAACTTAACATGAGATAAATAAGTGACTGGACTAGGCTTAGTAAAATTTTGGTGCATTTTAGAGGAATAATAAAGGTGTTGTGTTCAATTAACAAATGTTCCAATTTTTTGGACCACCCTGTAGATGCACTGGCGGATCCAGAAGCTAACAAGGGCTGGGGGCATATTTCAAGTCATAAAAATTGTGGGCCCCTAAAACCAAAAAGTGGGCCCAAAATCTAATGCCTATTTTTTGATTATTTGGCTTAAAATTAAAAAATAAGACCCAGAGGTTATTTTGGCCCAAATATCTTTTCTGGGCCAATCGAAGTGGGAGGGGCAGGTCCAACGGGCCCCCTTGGATCCGCCAATGAGATGTATCAACCACCATCAATCTTAAAAAGACTACAGTATCTATAGATGATATTAAACCCAATGTTATGGAATTATTTGTGTAGACCCTCTTACTCAGATGTTTAACCAAGGGCGAACATAATACCCGGAACGTTTTTTACCGCATCCGATTTGAATTAGTCAATAAACATGATACTATACACCATTGTCTAATGAGATATTGTTTACATATTTTTTTATCATGGTTGTTTCCAAACTAAGCCAAATAGGGTGTCATGCACCCTATTTGTGTCATGCACCCTATTTGCATATCATGCATATTCTCACTCTTAGTAGTGGAAATGAATAAATAGCACAAGATAGTACTAACATATTCGAATGTGTGATTGCAAATGAATGAACACACGGAGCACAAGTGTCTCGAACTCGCAACCTCGTGGTTACGGCACATATACCCCTAGCTTGAAAGTGCTGGCGCTGATTAAGATTTTCAATATTTCGAGCATTGATAGATATCAAACGAACTGTTGATACATTCGATTTCCATATTAAGTGTTTGTGGTATAAACGTAAACGTTGCATTTGGTTCTCAGGCGATATTATTGCTCATCTTATTATACTACACCCCCACTGTGACAATTGTTACGCAGAATATGGCATATATTCATGGTTGCGCGGTATTTGTGATACGGGTGAATATGCCATACTCACCTGCGGTGTATGGCATGTTCCGCAGGGGAGTATGCCATATTCCGCAGTGAATATGCGATACATTGGTTTCAGCGAATACTCGAGACTCACCTGTGGAATATGTCATACTCACTTGCGGAATATGCCATATACCACAGGTGAGTATGACATATACCGCAGGTGAAAACGTGATACAGAAAGCCTTGATTTTGATTGGTTGCGAGAATCGACTCTAGATGTAAAACTACGCTGGATTACCAATATAGTTAGTGCTTCGAGTACTTATATATGAATCCTGGATTTATTGAGTAAGTTTATTACGTGAGATTGCTGAGTGATACTTCTGTATTCGTTGATATATTCAATGCACTGTACTGTTGATTCAGTAATCATTATAATAATTGAATGGATTCTATCTTTTAGTGACGTCACAATTAGGCCACCCAGCTTTAGATGTTTGATTTTGTGAGATTGTCTTCTATATTTCGTGCTTTATTGATTTATTTTTCACGAAAGCGTTCGATTTGACTAGATCAACATTCATGCTAAGCACATACCAAGTCTAAGATCTTACTGACATGATTTAGATAGCGATTAAGCGCCCCCCGAATTTGACAAAAACGGGGGGCGCTTATAGGCATCAATGTTTAGTATCAATTTCACCCAGCTTTAGATGTTTGATTTTGTGAGATTATCTTCTATATTTCGTGCTTTCGTTGCGGAATATGACATTTATTTGTATCGTGTTTACCGCGTAACAACAATAACATAATATATGGTACCTAAATGAAGTACATGTATTAGTGTGTATAAACCCGGGGATATCTTTTGATACAGTGTAGTTCAGTGGAAATGAAATACTAATTACCCGTTCTTCCTCAGTCATCAAATCTGCATGTGTGTACAGAGTATTTGGAAATATATTACAGGATATAAACAGACATTCTATGTGTTAATGATATAACCTCTAAAAAGTTCAATATGTGGGAAAGAGAGATGAAGGAGACTGAGTAGTCTCAAAGCTAAACCCTTTATATAGTATTTTAAAGTATATGCCGTGGTCTGCTATTTCGACGTAACCCCCCCTATCACACCAAAGAAGTTCTTACCCGTTCTTGCCAGTCCTACGAAAAAGTCGTAAAACGGGCTCAATCTGGCTGTGATCGGGAAATATGTCTAAAATAATTAGCTACTTCGTTCTTAAACAGTCTTCAATACGTCCATCTCATTCGCAGTTCGTTCAGGTCGCACCAGGTCGGTGTGCAACGTCGTATAACGCGTCCCTTAGTCTAGAAGGTCATCGTGACCTGATTACAGAACGGTATGGTCGCCATCGAATTTTGAATCGATTCAAAATTCTAAAATCATCTTCCCGTCTGAGAACGTTCATGAAGTTTGTAAATAGACCTTAGAAAGTTGCAGCTACGTTCATTCCGTTCGCACACGGTTTAAAACCAGTTTTGAAGAACGCAGTGGCAACTTGTTTGGTGTGATAGCTATATTTTCGCTAACTCGTTCATAAGCAGTCTTAAATACGTTCTTAATCAGTTTAAACCCGTTTGCAATTAGTTCTACCTCGTTCTCAATACGTCCCCAGACAGTTCAACTTGTTGTTAAAACGTCCCTAGTAGGATTGAAGTACGACGGTTCCGTTTGTAGTACGTCCAGCTCGTCGTTAGTACGTTGTTACTCGTTCTAATTGTAGAACGTATCGACCACGAGAACATTTTGAGCATGTTCTAAGTTCTAGGGGACCTACCCGTTCCAGTACGTTCGATGAAGTTTGCAAATAGACCCAAAACGGTTCTAGGTACGTCAAGTCCGTTCGAACATAGTTGAAACCCGTTTTCGAGAACGTAGTGAAAACTAGTTTGGTGTGATAGTAGGGTAAGCTTTGCATTTTCACTGGGCATTTTCCCAAGGCTTTGTTTGCAAGAAAAATGGATTTAAGGTAGAACTTCACTGTCGATCGCGACTTGTTTCTACCATTTAGAAAAATCTAGGTGAAAGATAAACTGGTGTATAACAAAGTATGTGAAAATCAGAAAGATTGACCGTTTGGTTATTTCTAGAAAAGCATTAATTTAACAATACAAGGGTTTCAATGAGAAAATGCATTATTAAAAATAAAAAAAAACACAATTCAGATTTTCTTTAAAAATTATAACCATTCTATGGGAATGAACACCAAAGTTCTACCTTAATAGGTGACACTTAAAAAATGTGTTGAAGTGTCAATAATGTTAATTGACAAAATGGGCCCAGGATTTCAGCACTTGGTTTCTTCACAATGGCTTTATAGAACTTAACATTTTCTTAGAAAACATAAGTCCTGTATTACATATACAGTACTTTCCAAATTCCGGGAATTAATGCATAACTGTTCAAAATTAGATATTTCATAACCGTACTTAACACAACCATTTGACTGTAATGACTCCTTTAATGAGATCAAGAATCAAGTCTGAAATTATCATGCCATGCTACCAGTTGGAATATGAAGATGAGTATTGAAAATATTCTTAAAATATATATATATATCTTAAAATATATAAAACAATAAACAACGAGCTATAAGATGTTAACTTGCAGATCTAATTTTTATTCTAATATTATTTTGCACAGATTAAATTACTGTAAATGTTGCGCTTAATTGGTTTCTAAAATGCTCTAAAGTCTCAACGTTTGTGTTTTTCACATGTCCACTTTTCTCGTCATCTTTCTCTTAATTTCAATTCCTTCTTCTTCCCTTCCATCTTCTCCTATGCATCTGTAAGAAACATTGCATCCAAGTTTAAATTCATTTAAAGGCCCAATATAAAGTTTGAACTACTTTTTTATCATTCATAAACCAAAGTGGTTTAAACCTTATATGGGGCCTTATAACATCCACCAGAAGGGTTGTACGTAATAATTTAAGATTTCTAAACTTTTACTAAGGGCTGTTATAAATGCAGTGTACGGTTGATCAGAGACACAAAATGAATATCTTTATTTTTGTCTGATTTGTTACGATGACAAATCCAATAGCACCAATGGTTGATTTAAATGAAACATGTCCAGTAAAGTATGGAGTTCTACATTGAAAGGTTAGAAGAAATTTGGTCATTTTACTCATATTACACTCTACTATACCCAACCCCTAGAAATGCATAAGTTATTCTGTTTTTCTAGTTTTGTTTAGTATATTTTTATAAGTACCTTATTAACATCTAAGAGTCATCCGATAAACCATTAATAAGGAACAGCCACATAACAACAAATAACATAATCATTACTGATAAGCCAAATGGGTTGCTCATGAACACCAAATGCATGGTATAGTAGAGTGTATTACCCCGACCCGTGCTTACTTTCAGGTTCCGATGACCTACAATAGCATTTGCTTTTGCCTCCAATTGGTGGGTCACACATACACGATGTACCCTCCTCACAGGTTCCTTTCCTGCATTTGGCCAGACTGCTTCTCACTTCTGCGCACTTCCTTCCCTCACGTATCTCTTTGTTTGAGCTATTCCTATCACTGTTTGGACATTGCTGGAAAAATGATTGCATGAAATGCATTGAAATTCATCTTCCGAACGCAGGGTTCCAGACATCATCCGCTAAGTTCCTTCCTTCATCCAGCTGATCGCAGGGTGGAAGAAGGAGGGACGAGTTCTGGAGGCCTGTGTTCGGAGGTTGATTGAAACTCGCCTAGTGATTCATTGCCTAAACTCTAGCTTCAAAGTATTTGTAATAAAGTTTAGGACATTGTATTCGTTTTGGATCTTATTTAACGCTGGTGTCCATTTTGTTACAAGAATGGGAGGTTTCTGTAAAATATGTTTTCGCATGTTGAGAGCGATTGTGGATAATTTAGGAACGATACATATCTTCATATCTTTAAAGAGCAAAATGGTCACCATGTATTTTCCCCAGCAAATCTACAATTAATCAGTTGTTGGCACTAGTGTGCTAAAAATTTCAAGTTGAACGGATAATTAAGCGGCTTGTCTTGAATTTTGATGACAAGATTTATCGAAAAAATCAAAATGGCCACCTTGTTATTACCCAGCCCGCCCGAAATCTCAAGTGATATAGGACCTACCGAATGCAGTCTCAAATTAATAACGAGAGACGAAGTTTTACAGTTTGTGTGTTTTTATCATGTTTAAAGTTTTTGAAAATAAGTCAAATGGTTCTATTGTTACAAACTTGACAATCTTTGAATTTCATTTTATGGTTACAACTAGAACTTGTTTCATGAAACCTTTGGCATTTATGTGGAAGGTGCGGTTCTCGTCATTTTTACTTGGCTCACACGCTATATTTTGCAAGTACCTTCAACAAAACGCCCAAAACTGCTGAATCATGTACTCTGACAACATATTAGTGACAAAGTGGTTCCAAACAAAATTCAAACCAGAGTATTATTAAAATTAAAGGTACAAAAGGAAGAAAAGGCGCCCTTTAACAAAATTCCACCTGTGAAGCTTGAAGTAAAGCAGTTTCAAGGTATTAGATTTAATTATGAGGTAATAATTACCAAAAGCGTTGCTGTCGTTGTTATCGTTGCAGGGGCTACCGTTAATCTACAATAGCATTTACTTTTGTTTTTATTTGGTGGGTCACACATACAGGATGCACCCTCCTCACAGACTCCTTTCTTGCATTTGACACGACCGCCTCTCACTTCTGCACACTTCTTTCCCTCACGTATCCCTTTGCTTGCGCTACTGATGTTTAATCTTGGACACAGCTGTTGAAAGATATGATATATGTTAAGCTATGCCATACCATACTCTTATTAGATATATAAGGGTTATGTACTGGGAGGTTTTGGATATGGGGTTTATCCAGAGGGAGATATGCATATCTACCGACCGTAGGGACCGAAGGTAGATGTGCATATCTCACGAGGGATGAACCCCATATCCAAAACCGACCGTACATAACTGCTTTATCCTATACCAAGTAGAGTCTTCATGGGCATATTTCCATTTCAATAGTACAAGGTGTAAAAATGAACAAATCATTCTATATGCAAAGTCATTTTATTGCATCTCCACTACTTACCGGAAGCGGGAAGATATGCACCGAAGTGGGAAGATATGCAACGAAGCGGGAGATATGGCGGAAGATATGGAGGTTGTGGATATGGAAACCTCAAAATCAGGATACGGGATATATCTAACCAACTTATCTCCCTAAAACTCTACTTGGCATAGGATAAAGCAGGGCATACTCAAAATATTTAGACTTTAAGTGAAGACATAATATTATGGTTATACTTATACTTTCTAGGCTTTACAAAAGGCACAGGGTGACCAATATCGTACCTAAAACATAGCAGTGTGGACTTGATGACCCAGAAAGCACGATGGCTGCCGAAAAAATAAACAGTTCAAGAACTTCTTACCATGTAACACGTGTAAAAATCTGAAGTAAATCCATTAAGTGGTTTTCCTAGAATCGCGATGACATGTAACATATATGGAAATTTGAAGTAAAACAAATAGGTGGTTTTCCTGGAATCGCGATGATATGTAACACGTGTAAAGATCTGAAGTAAATCCAAGTGGTTTTCCTGGAATCGCGATGACATGTAACATGTATGAAAATGTGAAGTAAATCTGTCAAGTGGTTTTCCTAGAATCGCGATGACATGTAACACGTGAAAAGATCTGAAGTAAATCCAAGTGGTTTTCCTGGAATCGCGATGACAGGTAACATGTATGGAAATTTGATTTTACAAAATTACATCACTAGCAGAAATAGTTTTGAATATGATGCTTTATTTAGTTCAAACAAAGGTGAATTACATACAAATGAGCTTACATCTTGTAGAGAAATATAAAATAGGTACTCCTTGTTGCACCCATTCAAGCACACATTTATTTTTGGTATTATTTTCCCACTCACTATATTAATGACAAGTTACGGAAATATGCATCTTCACCTGTTGATGCATTGGCATCCACGACCTCGAAAGCCACGACTACGACCTCTAAAATCTTGTTTGGTAACCTTTGTGGCAGCTGCGGCAATAGTTGTGGCCTTTTTCATATTGTTGATTGCTGTTGGAGAGAATACAGAATTGTATTTCTGTAAATGCTTGAAGAATTTTGCATTTGTCGAATCAAAGTCTGACAACACCATTGCACTGGCGATTTCATCACGAATGCAAAATATCATTGGGCCACTTGGACGTCATACAAACGAATACAAAATAATGTCCTGTTCAGAGGTGCCAGATTGTCCAATATTCGCCAACAACTTCAAAGATGTTTCATTGTATTTGTCTATCTTCCTTAAAGCTCCTGTCAAGGGGTGCTGTGGCAATTTTACATTGGTCAGACGCTTTATTGTCAAATCACTTGGTAGAACTGTTCTTTCTACAGACCTTGCTATGGCATCGAATTTGGCCTGGCAATCAAATTCGTCCTCTGCATGAGAATAAATGTCTCGTGGAACGTCACGCTCTCTACCGAAAGCAACGGAATTGAACTGCTGATGACCGTTTCTGGCCTCCTTCGGCATTAGATTGGACCTATCGCCAACAGGCTCAGAGTTGTTCACGCCGGAATTTTCCGCTGCAAAGTTCGTACTACGCTGGGTATTTTCGACTCGATGGAGCCGTTTGTCCACAATTTCGAGCGTCCTCTAGAAGCTTCCTACTTTGTCTAACAAAATGTCCAACTTCCTTGCTATATTACTGTCTTGATCTCCATCTTCAGTCCTAAACTTCTGGTAGAAACACAAAAACTAGAACGATGCCGATAGGCGCTCCACCTATTGGCAGAGCCTGGAATCTTATTTTTATTGAATGTAAACAATTAAAGAATATCAGACACTTTACAGTGAAATACTTGAAAACCTGCGCAATAATATTAAAATATGAATGATCTTCATAAGACGATTTGTTCTTCTGACAAGTGAGGGGATCATATTAAAAGAAACAGCTGACATGATACCTTATGATTGGTAAAGATAGGATCCTTATATCAAAATAACAGTTTAAATGTAATTTGAAGAACACATCTTATTTTCCTTTTAAATATTTTTAGTGATATTTTTTTATTGTTCGATGTACGTTTGGCCTTAATCTGCTAATAGGGCATCAGTACAAATAAATCCCATTAATGTATAGTCTCGGATTATGATAATAGTGCCTGAATAGTGGGAGGGGTAATAAGACACGGTTTCTTTTTTTACGTTGTGATTTTGTGATTTAAGATAACTGGGATTAAACTTCCTTATGCCTGGTCTACACCAAGATGTTTTATTTTTCTTGCTGTTCTCTACCATTTTTTGGTGTTTTCCCGTAGGCACTTTCAAGATATTTAGTAAGAGTTGACGTACCAGTGGTGTTGCTGTTGTCGTCGTCGGGGCTGTCGTCGGGGCCGCCGTTGTTGTAGTTGGTGCTGCCGTTGTTGTCGTCGGGGTTGCCGTTGTTGTAGTTGGTGCTGCCGTTGTTGTCGTTTGTGCTGCCGTTGTTGGTGCCGATGTTGTTGTCGTTGGTGCTACCGTTGTTGCTATATGTTATACATAATTGACATAATATCAATGATGATGTAAAAACTAAAAGTTACTACAATGCGATTTACGAAGTGGGTTAAGTTGGCTGCATATTGGTATTGGGATTGAGATTCAAAATGACCAGCACCTGCTGGTGAGCTTGAATGTCAATACCAATACAAATATGATCTCATATTAGGATACGCTCTCTCTGTTTGAATCCTAATACGAATACTAATATGAATCCTAATATGGTTGTTTATATCATTCTAGCGAAGAAGGATGACATTTCTGCAGGAAATGTGGTCGAATGTCAATACTAATACAAATATGAGCTCATATTAGCATTCACCAACTATGTTTGAATCCTAATACGAATACTAATATGAATCCTAATATGGTTGTTTATATAATTCTAGCGAAGAAGGATGATTTTTCTGCAGCAAATGTGGTCGAATGTCAATACCAATACAAATATGATCTCATATTAGGATTCAACAAATATGTTTGAATCCTAATACGAATACTAATATGAATGCTAATATGGTTGTTTCCATCATTCTAGCAAAGAAAGACGACTTTTCTGCAGTAAATGTGGTCGAATGTCAATATATCAATACAAATATGAGCTCATATTAGCATTTACCAACTATGTTTGAATCCTAATACGAATACTAATATGAATCCTAATATGATTGTTTATATAATTCTAGCGAAGAAACATGATTATTCTACAGCAAATGTGGTCGAATGTCAATACCAATACAAATATGAGCTCATATTAGAATTCGCATACTATGTTTGAATCCTAATACGAATACTAATATGAATCCTAATATGGTTGTTTAGATAATTCTAGCGAAGAAGGATGATTTTTCTGCAGCAAATGTGGTCGAATGTCAATACCAATACAAATATGAGCTCATATTAGGATTCGCTTTCGATGTTTGAATCCTAATACGAATACTAAGGGGAGGCATCAAAAGATCAATGTCTGATAGAAAACTAAATAAATCTAGTTTGGGGGGAGGGGGTCAAAGCTATTTCAGTTTGCTATCCGACAAATTTCAACATTTAATTTTTTTGCAATTTCGACTCGAAATGCCTTGGAATGGTTTAAAAATAAAGACTTTATGAGATGCCTTCTTCAACAAGATGCATGCAACATGGAATATTATGCCTATTGTTGATGGCACATGTTTTAAGAGTTATAAATAAGTTATAGTACTGCCCCCATGGAAGTCCAAACTGAGTCGCTAAAACATGTGAAAAGTCCACGATCAACTTTCACTGTATTTAGTTTTGAGGGGGAGGGTGGGGTCAAACTCAAAACTAGATTTATTTAGTTTCCTATCAGACATTGAACTTTTGATGCCTCCCCTAATATAAATCCTAATATGGTTCATTATATCATTCTAGCGAAGAAGGATGACATTTCTGCAGGAAATGTGGTCGAATGTCAATACCAATACAAATATGAGCTCATATTAGAATTCGCATACTATGTTTGAATCCTAATACGAATACTAATATGAATGCTAATATAGTTGTTTACATCATTCTAGCAAAGAAAGATGACCTTTCTGCTGCAAATGCGGTCGAATGTCAATACCAATACAAATATGATCTCATATTAGGATTCAACAAATATGTTTGAATCCTAATACGAATACTAATATGAATGCTAATATGGTTGTTTCCATCATTCTAGCAAAGAAAGACGACTTTTCTGCAGTAAAGGTGGTCGAATGTCAATACCAATACAAATATGATCTCATATTAGGATTCAACAAATATGTTTGAATCCTAATACGAATACTAATATGAATGCTAATATGGTTGTTTCCATCATTCTAGCAAAGAAAGACGACTTTTCTGCAGTAAATGTGGTCGAATGTCAATACCAATACAAATATGAGCTCACATTAGGATTCGCTTTCGATGTTTGAATCCTAATACGAATACTAATATAAATCCTAATATGGTTCATTATATCATTCTAGCGAAGAAGGATGACATTTCTGCAGGAAATGTGGTCGAATGTCAATACCAATACAAATATGATCTCATATTAGAATTCGCATACTATGTTTGAATCCTAATACGAATACTAATATGAATGCTAATATAGTTGTTTACATCATTCTAGCAAAGAAAGACGACCTTTCTGCTGCAAATGCGGTCGAATGTCAATACCAATACAAATATGATCTCATATTAGGATTCAACAAATATGTTTGAATCCTAATACGAATACTAATATGAATGCTAATATGGTTGTTTCCATCATTCTAGCAAAGAAAGACGACTTTTCTGCAGTAAAGGTGGTCGAATGTCAATACCAATACAAATATGATCTCATATTAGGATTCAACAAATATGTTTGAATCCTAATACGAATACTAATATGAATGCTAATATGGTTGTTTCCATCATTCTAGCAAAGAAAGACGACTTTTCTGCAGTAAATGTGGTCGAATGTCAATATATCAATACAAATATGAGCTCATATTAGCATTTACCAACTATGTTTGAATCCTAATACGAATACTAATATGAATCCTAATATGGTTGTTTATATCATTCTAGCGAAGAAAGATAACATTTCTGCTGCAATTGCGGTAAAATGTCAATACCAATACAAATTTGAGCTCATGTTAGGATTCGCAAAGTCTGTTTGAATACTAATACGAATACTAATATGAATATTAATATGGTTATCTATATCAAAATAGCGAAGAATCACGATACTTCTACAGCAAATGTGGTCGAATGTCAATACCAATACAAATATGAGCTCATATTGGTATTGGTATTGACATTCGACCACATTTCCTGCAGAAAAGTCATCCTTCTTCGCTAGAATTATATAAACAACCATATTAGGATTCATATTAGTATTTGCATTAGGATTTAAACAGAGTAAGCGAATCTTAATCTGAGCTCATATTTGTATTGGTATTGACATTGGACCGCATTTGCAGCAGAAAAGTAATCTTTCTTCGCTAGAATGATATAAACAACCGTATTAGGATTCATATTAGTATTCATATTAGGATTCAAAAATAGTTGGTGAATCCTAATATGAGCTCATAATTGTATTGACATTGACATTCGACCACATTTGCTGTAGAAGTATCATGTTTCTTCGCTATTGTGATAAAATAACCATAATAGGATTTATATTAGGATTCGTATTAGGATTCGAACACAGTTGGCGAATCTCAATATGAACACATAGTTGTATTGGTATTGACATTCGACCACATTTGCTGTAGAAAATTTGTGTTTCTTCACTAGAATGATTTAAACAAGCATATTAGGATTCATATTAGGATTGAAATTGGTATTCAAACAGACTTTGCGAATCCTAATATGAACTCATATTTGTATTGGTGTTGACATTCAACCACATTTGCTATAGACAAATCGTCTTTCTACGCTATTGTGATATAGATAACCATATTAGTATACCTATTAGGATTTGTATTAGGATTCGAACACAGTTGGCGAATCCCAATATGATGGCATAGTTGTATTGGTATTGACATTCGACCACATTTGCTGTAGAAAATTTGTGTTTCTTCACTAGAATGATATAAACAACCATATTAGGATTCATATTAGGATTGAAATTGGGATTCGAACATAGTTGGCGAATCCTAAAATGAACTCATATTTGTATTGGTGTTGACATTCAACGACATTTGCTATAGACAAATCGTCTTTCTACGCTATTGTGATATAGATAACCATATTAGTATTCATATTAGGATTCGTATTAGGATTCGAACCCAGTTGGCGAATCCCAATATAAACGCATAGTGGTATTGGTATTGACATTCGACCACATTTGCTGTAGAAAATTTGTGTTTCTTCACTAGAATGATATAAACAACCATATTAGGATTCATATTAGGATTGAAATTGGGATTCAAATATAGTTGGCGAATCCTAATATGAACTCATATATGTATTGGTGTTGACATTCAACCACATTCGCTATAGACAAATCGTCTTTCTACGCTATTGTGATATAGATAACCATATTAGTATTCATATTAGGATTCGTATTAGGATTCGAACACAGTTAGCGAATCCCAATATGAACGCATTGTTGTATTGGTATTGGCATTTGAGCACATTTGCTGTAGAAAAGACGTGTTTCTTCACTAGAATGATATAAACAACCGTATTAGGATTCATATTAGTATTCGTATTAGGATTCAAACAGACCTGGCAAATCTTAATATGACCTCATATTTGTATTGGTATTGACATTCGACCACATTTGCTGTAGAAGTATGGTGTTTCTTCGCTATTGTGATATAGATAACCATATTAGGATTCATATTAGGGTTCGTATTAGGATTCGAACACAGTTGGTGAATCCCAATATGAACGCATAGTTGTATTGGTATTGACATTCGACCACATTTGCTGTAGAAAAGTCGTGTTTCTTCGCTAGAATGATATAAACAACCGTATTAGGATTCATATTAGTATTCGTATTAGGATTCAAAAAGACCTGGCAAATCTTAATATGACCTCATATTTGTATTGGTGTTGACATTCGACCACATTTGCTGTAGAAGTATCGGTTTTTTTCGCTATTGGGATAAAAATAACCATATTAGGATTCGTATTAGGATTCGTATTAGGATTCGAAGACAGTTGGCGAATCCCAATGTGAACGCATAGTTGTATTGGTATTGACATTCGACCACATTTGCTGTAGAAAAATCGTGTTTCTTCGCTAGAATGATATAAACAACCGTATTAGGATTCATATTAGTATTCGTATTAGGATTCAAAAAGACCTGGCAAATCTTAATATGACCTCATATTTGTATTGGTGTTGACATTCGATCACATTTGCTGTAGAAGTATCGGTTTTTTTTCGCTATTGGGATAAAAATAACCATATTAGGATTCATATAAGGATTCGTATTAGGATTCGAAGACAGTTGGCGAATCCCAATGTGAACGCATAGTTGTATTGGTATTGACATTCGACCACATTTGCTGTAGAAAAATCGTGTTTCTTCGCTAGAATGATATAAACAACCGTATTAGGATTCATATTAGTATTCGTATTAGGATTCAAAAAGACCTGGCAAATCTTAATATGACCTCATATTTGTATTGGTGTTGACATTCGACCACATTTGCTGTAGAAGTATTGTGTTTCTTCGCTATTATGATATAGATAACCATATTAGGATTCATATTAGGATTCGTATTAGGATTCGAACATAGTTGGCGAATCCCAATTGAATATGAACGCATAGTTTTATTGGTATTGACATTCGACCACATTTGCTGTAGAAAAGTCGTGTTTCTTCGCTAGAATGATATAAACAACCATATTAGGATTCATATTAGGATTCGTATTAGGATTCAAACAGAGTATGCGAATTCTAATATGATCTCATATTTGTATTGGTGTTCGACAACATTTCCTGCAGAAAAGTCATCCTTTTTTGCTAGAATTATATAAACAACCATATTAGGATTCATATTAGTATTTGCATTAGGATTCAAACATAATAAGCGTATTTTAATCTGAGCTCATATTTGTATTGGTATTGACATTCGACCGCATTTGCCGCAGAAAAGTCATCTTTCTTCGCTAGAATGATATAAACAACCGTATTTGGATTCATATTAGTATTCGTATTAGGATTCAAACAGACCTGGGAAATCTTAATATGACCTCATATTTGTATTGGTATTGACATTCGACCACATTTGCTGTAGAAGTATCGTGTTTCTTCGCTATTGTGATATAGATAACCATATTAGGATTCATATTAGGATTCGTATTAGGATTCGAACACAGTTGGTGAATCCCAATATGAACGCATAGTTGTATTAATATTGACATTCGACCACATTTACTGTAGAAAAGTCCTTGCTGTAGAAGTATCGTGTTTCTTCGCTATTGTGATATAGATAACCATATTAGGATTCATATTAGGATTCGTATTAGGATTCGAACACAGTTGGCGAATCCCAATATGAGTGCATAGTTGTATTGGTATTGACATTCGACCACATTTGCTGTAGAAAAGTCGTGTTTCTTCGCTAGAATGATTTAAACAACCATATTATTAGGATTCATATTAGTATCCGTATTAGGATTCAAACAGACCTGGCGAATCCTGATATGAGCTCATATTAGTATTGGTATTGACATTCGACCACATTTGGTGCAGAAAATTGTCATTCTTTGCAAGAAGGATATAAATAACCATATTAGGATTCATATTGGGGTTGAAATTGGGATTCAATCATAGTTGGCGAATCCTAATATGAGCTCATATTTGTATTGGTATTGACATTCGAGTACATTTGATACATAAACATCAACATTCATTGGTATAATGATATACTTAACCATATTTTGATTCATATTAGGTTTCATATTTGTATTGGTATTGACATTCAAGCTCACTAGCTGCTGGTCATTTTGAATCCCAATCCCAATACCAATATGCAGCCAACTTTACCCACTTCGATTTACGTATAATTTAGCTTAACTTGGAGCAACATATTTATATACCAAACTTGTGCAGCCAAAACCCTGTGATTCTTAACATTCGAGAATAATGTTTTTAGATTCAGGTGTTATTCAAAGAATTTTGATCATTCTCTTACTAGTCGAATAGTATGAGTTCAGAGAGATCAATGGATTTTTATCTTAAAGTTTTCGCTAAGCAATAAAATATGACATAATTATAATATAAATTCTCAATTTTGATTGCAGATTTGAAATATTGAGAAATTGAATGATTGCGATTGGGTTAACTAAATTCAACACATCATTCAATCGATTATTGAAATGACAATTTATTTTGGAAAATGTTTATATATGTTTTATCTAATAAACAGGGTGGTCCAAAAATCAATAGCCAAGTTTAAAGATGAATGATTCATTCGATATATCTTAAATCAGGCCATGTATTATATATCATTTTAAAGATAAATGAATTCCTTACAATATGACACCATTCGATTAAAAAACTTTTTTCTTGTGGAGTAAGAGGTTAAACTTGACACCAGGGGTGTCATGAGTCACCAAAAATCAAAAAATGAAAATTCTATTCATATTCACAGCTACACACATTATGGTTGACTGAATCATCATTTTATTTAAGAGTAATACATAAGATGATTAATTCATCAAAAGATATTAAGTATTATTGGTGAATTTTGCACTAAACTTCTATAAATGTACCTCTTTTGATGGTGCCAAATTTCCCTCCATTTTCCGAATTAATTTTTTGGTCGCTTGTGACACTCCTGGTGTCAATTAATGCCACAAGAAAACACATGTTTCCGATTTTCCATAGATTCCAATTTGAAGCAATTTGAAAAATGAGCTTTTTGACCTTTTTTGAGCTTGAGAAGGTCATTGAAGGTAAAATTTCAAATCTAAAGTCAGATTTGATCTTCTGATAACTTGTAGATGATTTTGAAAAAAGGAATTGGTCAATTTGAAGGAAGTGAAAAAATACCTTTTTGACCCTTTTTGACCTTGTGCACACTCATCATCATCTGTACAAGTGACACCGTCGCCAGAGAATCCTGGATTGCAAGCGCAATCAAAACTTCCATCTGTATTTGTGCAAATTGCATTTGGATGGCAATTATTCGTTCCTTGTGCGCATTCATCATCATCTGTACAAGTGAAACCGTCTCCAGAGAATCCTGGATTGCAAACACAATCAAAACTTCCATCTGTATTTGTGCAAATTGCATTTGGATGGCAATTATTCGTTCCTTGTGCACACTCATCATCATTTGTACAAGTGACACCGTCGCCAGAGTATCCTGGATTGCAAGCGCAATCAAAACTTCCATCTGTATTTGTGCAAATTGCATTTGGATGGCAATTATTCGTTCCTTGTGCACACTCATCATCATCTGTACAAGTGACACCGTCGCCAGAGAATCCTTGATTGCAAGAGCAATCAAAACTTCCATCTGTATTTGTGCAAATTGCATTTGGATGGCAATTGTTCGTTCCTTGTGCACATTCATCATCATCTGTACAAGTGACACCGTCGCCAGAGAATCACGTATTGCAAGCGCAATCAAAACTTCCATCTGTATTTGTGCAAATTGCATTTGGATGGCAATTATTCGTTCCTTGTGCGCATTCATCATCATCTGTACAAGTGACACCGTCGCCAGAGAATCCTGGATTGCAAGCGCAATCAAAACTTCCATCTGTATTTGTGCAAATTGCATTTGGATGGCAATTATTCGTTCCTTGTGCACACTCATCATCATCTGTACAAGTGACACCGTCCCCAGAGTATCCTGGATTGCAAGCGCAATCAAAACTTCCATCTGTATTTGTGCAAATTGCATTTGGATGGCAATTATTCGTTCCTTGTGCACACTCATCATCATCTGTACAAGTGACACCGTCGCCAGAGTATCCTGGATTGCAAACACAATCATAACTTCCAATCGTATTTGTGCAACTTGCATCTGGATGGCAATTATTCGTTCCTTGTGCGCATTCATCAATGTCAGCTGAAATTGAATTTCACCGATGATTAAGATCATCGTTTAAGATAATTGTTTGTTATTTTGTACTTACGTAAACAAATACCACGACATGATTTTGTTACACAAGGTCTCAATCTCAATTTTGTATTCAGTAATGAGTAAAAGGTGTTACCATTGTTACTTCCCTTGGTTACTTATAACTTCAAATTCTCAACTCAGCAATCATAAATAACGTATTTGTTACGAATTTGAGTCGTTTTGTACACTCCCTATCATGGGTAAAAATAAATGGAAGTTTATATCTAACCTGTTGTCGTTTGGGCTGTCGTTGTTGTCGTTGGGGCTGCCGAAGTTGTTGCTATTTAAAATATACAGTAATTAACATGAAATCAGACATGAGAATGATAACACTATATGTACTAGATTTAATAGCCGAATAAAGTTGAATAAATACATGTAGATGTCAACACATGTTTTTATTATGATGGTTTGACTAGACTACCATAGACTTCAATAACACAGGGGCCGTTACAAAGTAAGAATGACAGTTGAACACACGGGATAAGGTTCAACTTTGAGCAAACTGATATTTTCATCGTTTCAGGTAGATCTGGCCTGGTTTCTAGATATTTTTATATGTCTATAACAATAAGACAGTGAACTTGACAGTAAATTCCATAGTTAAACCTACACAAACTCCAAATGCAGTATACTTATCGTGCGGGTAAATTTTCTGAGACACGGTATAACACACTACCCTTCCTCGATTGCGCACGCGCGGGATTCAGTTTTGACTTGTCCAGGCCACTTTTGAGTAAAGCGACTGCAACTCGAACAGCTCAAGAAGTGATTGCGAAATTTAATAGATCGTTAATGTCATCATAAATTCGGTCGTTAAATTCGTATACAATAGTATTATCTAGTAACGTACGGCGTTGCCCCATTTTCCGTAATTTGACTATCAGCTATTTTTCATTTTACCCCTTCGAAATTGCGAACGTACATTGTTAATCATTTGCGAAAAAACGAACAATTCGATGTATTCGATGTATATCAAATTCCCGGGACAGTTTTAGTCTTCCATACAACCAAATGCGTCTGGCAAATAAAAATGCCAATATAAATGATACATGTGACATACATTAACAGAAAAATAGTGTTTTGGATTTATATCAATCAGTCGGTAAGCCGAACATACACGTTCGTTTGTTCAATGAAATCACTGATTGTAACGCTGGTTTTAATTGGCTGCCAGCTAAGACGTAATTTACGTGTCACATTACAATTCTTGACGCGTTCGAAATCATTTTTTACGCCGTTCAAAATGCTTTTTACGCGTGGTTAAAAGTAAGGACGTATAAAATCGTTTTTGACGCCGTTCAAAATGAATTTTTGACGGCGGCGTATAAAATCGTTTTTGACGGCGTTAAAAGTAGTTTTTATCGGCGTATAAAATCGTTTTGATTTTCAATGGCGTATGAAATCGTTTTTTTCACGGCGTATGAAATCGGTTTTTTCACGGCGTATGAAATCGTTTTTGACGGCGTTAAAAGTATTTATTACGGCGTTAAAAGTAGATTTTAAGGCGTTAAAAGTATGACGATATATTGGTTCAGACGGCCAGTCATGAATTGCAGGAGAATTCCACTTCTTTGCAATTTCTCTTAATTATAGTTGCTCTAGGTTTTTACAATATACGCACATTCAATACTTTAACAACATAAAGATTTATGCATGTTTTATACTTAGGAAGCACTCCGATCCTATACTGATTTGATACACTTAAATATGGCCTACTTTCTATATCACGATGAGTGTTTCTTACTTGATGTATCATATTGGCCATGTATCCACATTCCACATAGTGGAATGGTTCGACAAGCCTCGCACACTCGTACTATGACAGTGGGCACAGTTTCATTGTTTGGTGATTTAATTGGTGTTTGCCAGGCTTACGGAAGCACTGTAACATTGAAGTTACATAAAAAATACAGCATACAGACTGCCATTTTAGATGATGATTACACTGGTGCTGTATATAGAAAATGGATCCATAATATTACTGTATATTGAATAATGTCTCAAGAACTATCAGCGTACTGATTAGAATATCACGGTTATGCTGTCACCAGGAGGTGCATTTCCTCAGCTCGTTTTTTAATTTTGAAAAATTAATTCAACATTAATGACACGCAATATAAATAGCAGTTAACTTGGGATGTTGTTGCATATCAATGTCAAAAGAAGTTACATATTCAAAGTGAAACTTACACGCGCCATGTACATTAATGAATTTACTAAAATGTATCTTGTATTGCCTTCATTCTTTTCTTTACTGCGCCCACTATTCTCTATCTTTACCAATACAGGGTTTTGCTAACAATATTCAACAAACTGCTTGATGAATCTATTTTATGTCTGGTAGAACACTAGGAATATATGTAGAATAACGGACTTTAAGACTTTCAGGTCCGTGGTAGAATATAGTTAACGTTCAGAAATATGGAAATAAACCAATGTCCTCCATTTGCAACTTAACTTAGCCTGCACCCCTTTTAAACGTGGTCACGTGGTAGGGTAGTGTGAGCTTAAAACTATATAACTATAAAACTTAATGGAAAAAAGATATCCTATTTTGAGAACTTGTGTAGATTTAAATATGTTTTGAAAGATAAATTTATTTAAATAGGCAAGCTATTTGCAGGTTTAGGCTTAGTTCACAAAGGACTTCGTCGACATTTAAAGCCCAAGCCAAAACCTATAGTTGTATTTGGGTGAATTATTTATTTAGCTAAATAGATTGGGTGCTATTAAATAAAATAAAGGCTGACATATTAGACAACTTCTCGTTCAGATTTCTTCATTTCTAATGAGCAAAATCTGGTCTTAGTGAATTGTGACGTCACAAACTTGAATTATCATAACTTCTACAGCATTTAAAATATACGACATATAAATATATGAGTTAAGCTTTTCTCCATCTAAAATGTCACTCGACTTTTTGGCAATTAAAAGTCCCTGCCTGCATTTAGTAGTCATATATTGTCATGTGCATAATTTTGAAACCATATCCTAATTATTTCACAAACCCTTTGTTGATTCTGCCATAGTTTCCAATTTGTAAACAGCATTTAGCCTTTTTAATACGGAACTTTTTTGAAATTTCCAAAATGGCTGCCATGTGATTCCAGAATTAACATGAGTGTGACGTGACATCACAGTTGCTCGTTCCTAGGTAACAACAAGATCACAATTGCTCGTTTCTAGATAGCAACAAGATTTTTGATAAAATGGCACAGAATTACCCTGATTAACACCCTTAAAATCCGATTTTCAAAGAATATATTTGGAGAAACAATAAAAGGTAAGTGGAATAAATTAGAAGATGGTTTCAAGTTACCACAGAAGTCAATTTGAAACTCAAGAATGCTTTCTTTGACTCATAATCACAAAAAAGTCGAGTGACATTTTAGATGGAGAATTTCTTAGTTATTTTCAAAAGGTGGAGTGAACTATAGTACCTAGTTTAGTCAATAGAGGGAATAGTTATCTGTTCCCGGGAAAGTTTCCCCGGGAATTGTTACTCCAACTGAGTAATTCAGTCAGTAAATTGGCTTACACTACGATACAATTTCGATCCCAGCATTTTTTTGTATTATGCATGCGTTCTATGTGTAGGATTGGATAGTTTTTAACAACACGTGTCACTCGTCGGGAGAGGTGTACTGTGATAAGTTGCACATTCAATATCGCAATTATTTGGCCTTTTTGAATTTAACAACTTTGACAACACTGGCGGATCCAGATGAAAATTTAAACCCCATTTTTGAAAATTTGGCCCAAAATGCCAAATCACAAAAAGAATCATTTTTGAGGCCATATGTAACTTTCGAGCAAAACGATTTTTGGGCTCCTACAAAAAAAGGGGGGGGGGCGCAAGATGGATCTGGATCCGCCAGTGGGATGATAACAAAAATAGGCGTATAGCTAAATATGGTGAACAATCGAAGAACTCCTGATATGCCAGTTAATTTCATGATTTACGTATACAGTATATAATTATAAGTACAATTAGTACGCTATGAACGCATTCGTTTATTTGACTTGGAGCAGAATTCAAGCACATATGCAGAATACGGCGGTATGATCTACCATTGTGTGTTTCATCTGGACGAACCCCCGTCCTCAACATAATATAATATGAAGTATTGCTGCCCTTGTTCGAACCCCAATACTCGAAAACCCATTATTACACCTAAATCAAATAATACGGAATCCAATACTCTAGAAAGATAAATCAATTAAAGTTTATGAGAATGACGTAATACAGTTTGCTTAGCGTCCCGGAGGTGGAGATGGAGAAGGCGTGGCTTCCCACGGCAGGGAAGGACAATTTTACAAAAAAAAGTTCAAAACACAGCGTGTATTTAATTAATTTTGTTACCGTATATATTTTCATTAAGTTAAAAAATTTCAAAAGCAGTTTAAAGATCAGTAAAACATGCAATGAAAATACATTTAGAAAATATACATTTAGACGGATCTTCAATCTCCTTTATGGCATAGTTGAATGATACGTTTAGAAACTAAAAAAACTAAGTGTAATGTATATAGAACTCTATAAATAGCTACACATTCAACAAGCACTTTGTTCATTACAAAAATTGACATTAAATAATAACCTGCCAAGATTTATTAAAAGTTCCAATATAGCAAATATCTGCCTTCATCAAAACTGGTCATTCTTAGTTCATCTGAGTAACCTGGTCATAACCGCGATATTTAAAACGCCGCCAAATCCGAACAAATCTACTAAGGGTTAGAGGAATTTCTAAATAGCTTTGGAATCTTTGTCATTTAAAGGACATGCGTTCATTAAAACTAGTCTTTCTTAGTTCTTCTAAGGAAGACTAGTTTTAAGAAGTAAATAGCCGCTATATTTAAATCGCCGCCGAATCTTAAGGAGTCCCGGCATTATGAACGAATCTACTAAACGCAGTTTCGCGAACTGGATAAATGGTCAATTCTGGGAAAAGAATCATAGATATAATGAAGAGGTTTCGCACAACAGGTTAACCAAATAGGGGGATATTGGAGTGAAACCCCCGGGAATAATCGGGAATAATCGATTTCTAGGTTTACACTAACTAATTCAGTGAAAAGTATACTTTGTAGAATATTTAATTTTATGAGTCATAACTCAGATAGGCTTAGATAGTGGTCATAAATGCAGTGACTCCATTATGCTACAAAATACGTAAACAATTTTGTTAAAGGTAGAATTTTCTTTTGAGAATATTAAGATTGCACTAAGTGTGTATTGACTTAACATAAAAATATACACCATTGACTGTATAT